CCTTTTCTAGTGCATCTTCTTTAAATGCACTTGGCTCTACGGCTGGTTCATTTATCTTCACCATAGAAATCATGGCCAGGTCCTTGTAATGACGAAGCAACTTAATGGCTCGATATACATTGAAGACCGCTTCTTCATTGTCCACCCTCGGGATCATCTTACCTTCTCGGACTTTGATAATGGCATCTCCAGTGGTCAAAAGAGGTCGTCCCAAGATGATAGGAACTAACTCATCAGCCTCGTAGTCATGGATGATAAAATCTGCAGGGAAAATAAACTTCCCAATATGCAACAAGACGTTCTCAATTACCCCCTTAGGTATATCTATCAGCTAACTATAGAAGCACCGTGGTGGGTCTCGGAGCTCCTAATCCCAATTGTTTGAACACTGACAACAATATCAGATTGATACTTGCGCCCAAATCACACAAGGCTCTACCCACATCAATTTCACCAATCCTCACGGGGATGGTAAAACTAGCTGGATCCTTAAGCTTTTGTGGAAGCTTATGTTGAATCCTGGAAGTGCACTCCTCGGTAAGTGCGCCGGTCTCAAATTCAGTTAACCTCCTCTTATTTGCCACTATATCCTTAATATATTTTGCATATTTTGGGACCTCACTGAGCATGTCCACCAAAGGGATGTTCAAGTGTATCTGCTTCAACATATCTAAAAATTTCTGAAACATGTGGTCATCATTTTTCTTTCTTAGTCCTTGAGGAAAAGGAGGTGGCACCCTCTCTGATATTTGCTCAGACTCTATTTTGTTTCTCTCATCTACCTCTACAGGTTTTGGAACTCTTTCTTCTTCCAGCCCAAACTGCTCTTTTTTCTTCTTAGGAACTTCTACTAACTCTCTCCCATTTCTCAATATCACTGTATTGACTTGAGGGTTTTTATCTGTATCACTTGGGAGAGCTCCAATAGGTCTAATATTCTGATTGTTAGCCATTTTTCCAAACTGCCTCTCTAGATTTTTGAACTTTGTGCGCAATTGTTGATTCTCAGCCATAACTTTCTGATTGTCTAGCAAGAGCTTTTTCATCATGTCAATCAAACTCTCTTCTGATTGTTGTGGAGGTTGAGGTGGATGATTATAATTCGCTCGAGGCCTGATGTTCTGATTTCCACCCCAAGAGAATTTAGGATGATTCCTCCAGTTCGTATTATATGTGTTACAATATTGAGCATTTTGATTCATCGGCCCTCTAGCTTGTTGCCCCCCACGTAGTAGATGGATTCAGGATTCACGGGGCATATGTCACTAGTGTGACCTTCACCACATAACATGCAGCAGGTAGACATCCGTTGCACATGATGCATCTGTTGTGCTTGGTTCATTGTCATCTTATTCATCTGATTTGCTAATCTCGCTATATCTGCCCTTATGGCAGAGAAATCATCAAGCTCGATCACACCTGCTGCCTTTTGTTTAAGTGCTCTTCGTGGTTCCCCATCTCCTTGCCAATTATTATCATTAGCAGTGAAATTGTTTAGCAGGATCTGGATCTCACTATACGGTCTTGCCATGCAACTACCCCCATATGCTGAGTCAAGATTCATCTTTGATGCCTCGTCCAACCCATCAATGAAAGTGTGACCCAACACCTCATCAGTCTGACAATGATGTGGGCAGTCTCTGAGTAGCTTCTTGTATCTTTCCCAAGCATGATGAAGAGTCTTGCCATCTCGTTGTTGAAACCCAAGAATCTGGCTCCTCAGCGACTTTGTCTTCTTAGTGGGAAAAAACTTGATTAAGAATTTCCTTGCTAGTTCATCCCAATTGTGGATTGAGTTCGCGGGCTCCTTTTGCAACCATTCCTTAGCTTCCCCGAGCAGTGAAAAGGGAAACAGTGCCAGCCTGACATAGTCCTTGGAAACATTTGGATAATTGTAAGTGTCTGTAATTTCCAGGAAGTTCTGAATGTGCCTCTACGAGTCTTCATGAGATAGACCCACATATTGCCCTGTGGACTGAATTAGTTGTACCATGTACTGTTTGAGTTCAAAGTGACCCGTAATCTCATGCTTCACAATTGCCTGAGTCATATTAGCAAGATTGGGCCTTGCAGCTTCTATCACCGCGCACCCTTCATTACCTGCCATCTCTATTGGTTGTGATTGAACTACGATGTCCAACTCTCTTTCAATTCTTGTTCGAGCTTCAACTTCCCTCCTCACTCTATGAAGTGTTCGATCGATCTCAGGATTAAGAGGAAGGATATTGTTTGTGCTTCTACTCCACCGCATTCAAGAGAACATCATGCGTTATCACAAATAAAGCAAACTAAAAATTAAAACATGAACAAATAATGAATAAAAGCTTAACTTAGATAAACAATAAATAACTAAGTCCCCGGCAACGGCGCCAAAAACTTGTTGGTTCCCCAAGTACACGCAAGTATA